ATGAATAATGATCTCCGCGCAAAATGACGGGCCCATCAATCTCCGCGCTGAGGCATCCAGATACGCACGACAATTGGCTATACTGGACTCGCACTGTTTGAGAACCATAGGTGGGACATCATTTTCAGGTAACGAGTCGATTGCACAAAGAAGAAATGGTCTGGTTATGATATCCTTGGCGGAGTGAAAGCGGTGGAGCATGTTGAGTTGAAGGCCAGTACATCGAGATGGATCGTTAATATCTGGTTTAATTGTACGAGGTAACAAGTCAAACCAATTGTGGAGCTGTCGGTCAAGCTCCTGGGAGACACTCAGGATTGTAGAGAGTGACTGGAAGTCATACGATGGGCTGTCGCTTGAAGCTGGCTGTAGACCAAGACTGCGCCTTGTCCAGTCACTTCCGTACATAGTGTGATGTACTCTATTGAGCAGACGACGGACAGACAGTTCAGCAAGGAAGACGTGTGTTTCTTGGGCGTCGTTGTTTGTAAAGGCTGGGAAAGGGGTCAAATCAATCACATGTTCGATACCACTTCGTGGTAAATGGTGTTCAGCTATCAAATCACTGTCATCAATGTTAGCATAAACTTGATTTATCCAGATGGAACCAAGAAACCAACCATTCAGTGTCGAAGGCCGCCCATGATAGTAAGATAATGCTGGACTTGAGCTTATGATTATCCGGCGAAGCTTGGCTTCTATCTCAAACAGATACTTGATCAATATAGCTGAAAACAAAAAGAATGGGCAGGGAGCATCAACTCACCGGCTATTCAGATACTGGATACTGGTAGAAGCCATATGGATGAGTTTCCATGATTGCAGGGGGCGTAAAAGAAACCCAAAATATTTCGAAATGAGTATCAAACTCTGGGGAAGAGTAATCGTGGGGCAAAATGACAATAAATATTCGTTCATCAATATCTGCAACGCAGGTGAAATGAAATCTGCTCCAGGCACCCAGTATGGAGAGCTGGACTTTGTCGGGTCAACCTGCTCAAGGGCTGCAGATCCCAATGCAAGAACTGCAAGGCATAGTGCAGAGTCACAGTCAACACTCAGACCGGCTCTAATATGGTGATCATACAGTCCCAAAAATTGGTCTCGGTCAATGATTGGCATCTCAACGTGGACATGTTTGAAATACGCCTCCACCAGTGGATAGGTACTTGCTTCATCGAGGATTGGCATCTGACTCGCTGTGATTGTACCTGCAGCGAAAGATAGCTGGTGCGGTATATGTCTTTTCGATTCCGCGCGTATGAACAGGTCTGGTGGAAACTCCCCGAAAAGCGTCTTTACTTTGTTCATATGCAGCATATATTCGGTTGTTGTTGTGTGGCCGATTGGAATACTCATGGGCGGGATGTCATGTTCAGGTGGTATGAAAGAGGACGAATTTGCACTGATAAGTTGGGAGATATCTGCCGGGTTGGGTCTCGACGGGGACGAAATCAACATGGTGGAAGGATGAGAAAAGCCTGCCCTTTCATGCTCAGATGATGGTTCGAATGTGAAGCCACCACTTCTTGTTTCGCCAGTCTGGGGTGTTTGAGGGAGCCTCGGATGACTCCATAGAAAGTTCTCAATTGCATCAAGACGGCGGAAGAACTCCGAGGAGGAAGTCTCTCCTCGAGGCCTGTCGGAGTTTAGCGATTTTGTTAAAATGTTGAATAACGCGGTTCTCTCACCTCGAAGAGTCAACTTCATTATATACACAATCAATACCTGAATCTTCACAGAGGGCGCAGGAGGGTATCGCACCATTGCAGCGGCGTTTCCTGCTTGTCCGTCAGCATCGGAACACTCTAGGAGTAAGGGAGACATACCGCCTCCGACAATAGTTGCATGCTAAAGAAGCACGCTTACGGCTACTTTCCATAAGGGAAAGTTGTATGGATTTCAAGGATCCAAGCTACCTAGATGGACCATGTTGATACTGATGTTGATACAAGGCGGGAAACTCCGCCGGGGCCCGCTTTTATTCCGCCTTAGTAATCAATACTCCCGTCCACCCGGACGCCCACGGGTCCTTCAGAGCTAACAATATAAATGCAAGAGGCTAATTTAACCAACTCATCAGCCCCTCTAAGATTGCTTTTCGATGTAATTTCTTTGATTTATCTGGAGAAGATATCCTTATTGGCCGTACATCTCCATCAATGCTTTGTGCTAGACGAAAGCCCCTCGCGAAAAACACCGGGCGACTTTAAAACACACACCAACGCTGTTTACCACCCTTGTTTGGTTCTATTTTGGGGCGGTATATATTGTTTACTCCGTGCTTCCAAGGCACACATAACTCGAATATTTGTCGTTAAAGTCATCGCTTTTCCTATATGTGAAGCCGTAAACATGGCCGTGTCCGGCAATAAAATTGTGTCGGGCCGATCATCTTTCGGGAAACTCTGGGGTCCACCTGAGTTCCCCGGACCGCTTTCAGAGATTTTTTTTTTGGGCTTGGCCGGGGTTACCCGATTGATTTTAGTCTTTGAAACATATTGAGAGTATCAAGCTTTTCGTCAATTTAGGGTCTAAAGGCTTGATAAGTCGCGTGGAAAGTCACTATGTTTGACGAAAAGCATGCCGTGGACGGCAAGGTCGATGGATCCCTCGAAAAAGACTTGGAGGAAAAATTGGACGCGAAGCAATTGGAGCCCTTTGGAAATGAGGAGACTGCGGAGATCAAGTATCGGACTATGAAATGGTGGTAAGTGATTATTATGACTAAAATTATGGATTCGATCATGGACATGGCTAATCATCCTTGAACAGGCACTGTGGCATGCGTGAGTAGCTAACTTTGAGATATCATGCACATGGAAAGCTTCGAGACCTAATGTCAATTCCAGTCATGATCGCAGAGAATGTCTCTGTCGGAATTCTGTCTTTGCCATCCGCAGTGGCTACCCTTGGAATGGTTCCGTATGTATTTTCTTTCGACGGCTTTGAGACCCCACGGCTAACATTGTTGAACAGCGCCGCTATCATGATTCTGTTTATCTCTGCTCTCTCATGGTATACCGGCTATGTTATTGGTCAATTCAAACTTCGTCATCCCGAGGTTCACAGCATGGGAGATGCCGGCGAGATCTTGATGGGTCCTTTCGGCCGTGAGTTGCTAGGAATTGGCCAGCTGCTGCTGTTGATCTTCCTCATGGCTAGCAACATTTTGATGTTCAACATCCTGATGAATGTGCTAACCGATCACGGAACCTGCACGTTGGTGTTTGGTGTCGTTGGACTGATCATCTGCTTTTTGGGCGCCTTGCCCCGTACTATGGACAAGGTCTATTGGATGTCTGTCATTTGTGAGTACATTCCTCATCTATTGCAGTCACCATACTGCTCAAGTTGGAGGACAATTCAACTGACCGATATGAAGCATTCTTGAGTGTCTTTGTTGCGACAGTGTTGACCATGATCACCGTGGGAGTCGATACTAAAGGACATATCAAAAACGAGGCCACTAGGGAAGTTAGCTTCCGCGATGGCTTTTTGGCTGTGACAAATATCATCTTCGCTTACCGTACGTGGAACACCAAATGATGCTGATCAGCACCTGACAATGTACACCGAGCTAACCCAAGGACCGATCTTATAGTCGCCCATGTTGCGTACTTTGGTTTCATTTCTGAGACAGAAGACCCACGCACATTCAACAAGTCACTCGCCATGCTTCAAATTGTCGATACGGTCTTGTACCTTGTTAGTGCACTGCTCATCTATCATTACGTGGGACCGGACGTCCAATCGCCTGCTATTCTCTCTATGAACCCGTTGATGAGCAAGATTGCCTGGGGTCTTTCAATTCCAACAGTGAGTTTATCCTTCAGTTCGCTCGTCTTCTGTGTCCACTTTACTGACCAAATATAGACCATTCTTTCCGGAGTTGTCTTGGGCCACGTCGCATGTAAATACATCTACGTGCGTATGTTCCGTGGATCCAACAAGATGCACAGCCGGAGCTTCCTGTCAATCGGATCCTGGGTCGCTATCTGTCTCGCAGTCTGGGTTGTTGCCTGGATCGTGGCAGAATCCATTCCCGTATTCAATGATCTACTGAGTCTGATTGTAAGTCTTTTTATCAAATCACATTTGAATTGGAACGTTAGCTGATGCAGAAATTACAGAGTGCGGTCTTTGGAAGTTGGTTCAGCTGTAAGAATGGCCCCCTTCCCATTATTGGATTTCCCAAGATCCAATCAAATGCTGACTTTTGATTAGTCGGACTCCCTGCGATCTTTTGGTTCTATATGAACAAGGGCCGTTACTTCCAGAATTGGAAGAAGTCTGTTTTGACGATTACGAATGCTTTGGTCTTGGCTATTGCCTTTGCTATTGTAAGTATCCTGCTTGGTTTTGTTTATGGTGACTAATTTTTTCCAGTGCGGATTGGGATTATGGGTGTCAGGAGTCGCAATTCACGAAGACTCCAGTTCCAAGAGTTGGTCTTGCGACAACACTGCGTGATTGGAAAGCAATAACCCTCGACGCTTCTGCCAAAAAAAACACCATAGATTCACCGTTTAGACCTGTTTGACTGTATACTCAACTTCACTTATAGAACATAGATTTTTAGCATAATTTTATGATGCATTTCACGCTTTTCCATCACACCATAACGCTCTAATTGGCGGTGAATCGGCTGTCGAAAATGGTTACTAGTAGTACCTGGACTCCGACGCCAGTTCAAGCTCTCTTTAACCTTGGTCGGCATCAACCTTTCAATAAAATCTTAGTCACCCAATGTCACGGGTGTGGTATATACTTGAGAGGTTTCCAAGGTTGGACCGGACTAAACATTATGAGCTAACCATATATGGCTAGCGTCAGCCGATACATCTCGACAGGTAGTACATACTGGTGGTCGAAGAATTGTAGAACAAGAATCAGGTGTAGGTCTAAATGATACCGCCATGTCTGGATATAATCAAGTTAAAATGTATAAGCAAAGCCACTACAAATAATAGCGGAAGTTTTGGTTCTCCCAGTCAGTCTCATCCCTCATCAAGTGCACGATCAAGTGCAGCCACCTCATCAGTTTCAAAGTCCCGGCGCAATTCAGGGTCTATTTTAACATTCTGCCGGCGGTCGTGTTGCTGGTTTTGAAACTGGAATATCTGACGCAAACCAAGAATGGCGACAAAGGCGATTGCCAGTGAGATCATAATCCCAATCTAGGCGCTCTACTCATCGTCAGTTTATCTTCATCAGACACGAAGTTAAGTAGGAGCATTCACCCCGTAGTCGGGCATTTCATCATCAAAGAATAGGAAAGAACCAGTGATATTGCCAGCACAATTCCCAATGAACATCACTGCAGTCATTGTCGTCCTTTTCGTGTATCCAGCAACGTTAGAGGCAATAATACTCAAGATAATAAGGATTCCGGTGGAATACGCACGGAAAAGCCACATTCCAGCTAATCGAGACACTTTCTTTGTAGGATCAATTTGAGAGACCATAATAGAGCCGGCCAAACTGATCAGCTGTAAACAAACGGTGAGGCAGTGCGATTAACGAGGATCGTGGCCAGAACCACCCAGATGAGAGTAAACACAGAGGTGGGTAGCCCAACGAGGAGAGTGTTGAGATTCGAGTATCCAAATCCGGCAATAGCAATACTTCAAAACTGCAGAAGGATATAAATAATTAGTAAGGCTTGATGGAATGCGGTCCAGTTATGCGTACGCTTGTGAGGCCTCCATTAGGGATGCTGGACGCCACGGAGTACACGAAAATAAGCCAAGTTTTCGGATCCATGATCTTTTGACCATTCATGCGAGACTAAAGTGTGTGGTTCGCGCTGGGCACGTTTGTGAATGAACTCTCCTTCCTCTTTAGAGAGGAAACGGGCGTTGTGGGGGGTGTCTGGTAGGTAAATATAGAAGGCAATTCCATTGCAAAGGTTAAGATGCCGAATATAATAAAAATCCACTATGTATCATTAGCTTCAGCAGAGGTGGGATTTATACATAGGAATGCTTGCATGCTGGACAAGGTACCCTCCACCGTTCAACCGAGTTGTTGATACGGCCGATACCATACGTTAACAGTCCACCAAAAATAGACGAAACGCTGTTTCCTGCAAACCAGATTCCATGTCGAGAGGCATGCTCAGAGAATTTATACCAAAGACCAGTGAGCAGGGAGAGACCAGGGCTAATTTACTTTCGAATCCCCCAAGACGCGAAGGGATATGAGACCTTCAAAATTGGACGTGGCACCATGGCATGCCAGGATCACAGCCCATATAATACTGGAGATTTCGCTGTGAGTTTTGAACATGAGGTCCGGGAGAGGACGAAGCAGTACGAACTCAGACAGGAGTAGAAACAGGAGATGTGTGTGAATTTAGCGGAATAATTTGAGGAAATTCAAAAGACCTATGTACAGAACTTGGTTCTTCATCTAGAAGTGTAAAGAATTAAGAAAGGACAACCCTAATCTCAGGCCTTAACAGTTTACTTGGCAATCTCCAGCCGGATCACCCCACTCCGATCTCTTGACTCGGCTCAGATGTCAATCCCTCAAATCCTCCGGATCCCCCGCTTTGGCGGAAGCCTCCCGCCTCGCAGCCGCCTGTCTCCAACCTCTGCACGTACTTCCAAATTGAACCATTTCAAGCTACTTCAGACTCACTGCTTTGGGTGATCGCCAATAATGTTTCCCTTTCTATAATCAATCATGGTACTCCAGATACCCCAAATACTCCAAATGGTTTCCACTTTCTGTTGCAGCCCAGCGTCAACTCTTGTCCTCCAATACTGAGAAACATACTAGATTACTCTCTAGTAAAACACCGATTTGTCTCGAAACTCAATCTCACAGAATCAATATGTCTACCGACACCTCAACGGGAGCGAGTGAGGACCAGCGAGCCTCGCTGACCTCTCGGGTCCTTCCTATTATGACCCTGTCGAAGGGATCAAGTTCCCTCACTCGTCCCCTCACTCCGGTACCCTTTACATCTGCTCGCTCACGTGCCGAAATGCGATTTCAAGTTCACGGAAAAGCCATAGTCACCGGCGGAGCAGGAGCACTAGGCCTAGTCTCAGCGCAGGCTCTCTTGGAGCACGGTCTTTCCTCGCTGTGTATCATGGATCTCCCCAAGACTCTGGAAACATCAGAAGAACAAATCCAATCACTAGCATCGAAATTTCCCTCTGCGAATGTAACCAAAATCCCCTTGGACGTGACCTCGATGGAATCAATCGAAGCCGCATTTGAACGGGCAAACACAACAATGGAAGGCATCGACATCCTCTGCTGCTTCGCTGGAATCCCTGGGTGCCAATCATCCCTCACAGTAACACCCGACCAGTTTAATAGAGTGATAGACGTGAACCTGAACGGATCTTTCTTCTGCGCTCAGGCAGCAGCAAAGCGAATGGAATCCTCGGGCAAAGGCGGGTGCATTTTGTTTACTGCGTCGATGTCCGCTCACTATACCAACTTCCCCCAGCCACAGGCTGCTTACAATGCGAGCAAGGCTGGGGTTGCGCATCTGACTCGAAATCTGGCTGCTGAGTGGGCAGTTCATGGGATCAGAGTGAATAGTATTAGTCCTGGATATATGGATACTATTCTCAATGCCGGGGACAGTTTGGCGGATGTTAGAAAGATTTGGGATGCTCGTTGTCCGATGGGCCGGATGGGGGATCCCGAGGAGATTACTGGGGCTGTTGTTCTTCTGTGTAGTCAGCGTGCAGGACGGTACATCACTGGTGCGGATATTGTTATTGATGGGGGCACTTTGACTCTGTAACAGTTTCAGAAAGGTAGTATTTTCCCTAAGTCCTGTTCATTGTACTTTAAATACAAAAAGAGAAAACACAGTAGCTTCTCCATATCTTCAAAGCAGACCCTCTTCACCGGCAAGTGTAGCCTCCATCAATCCGCAGATCCGCACCAGTAGTGTAAGTACTAGCATCACTAGCAAAGTACACATAAGCCGCCTTCAACTCCTTAGGGTCACTTTGACGACCCATAGGGATCATATTATTCCAACCCTCCTGAGTCTCCGCATCCACAAAGTCTCCCAGCCCGGTATTGATATATCCAGGCGAGATACTATTAACACGAGCAAAGTCCCTCCACTCATTCGCCAACGAGCGAGCCATATGAATACACCCAGCCTTAGCAACATTGTACGAAGTCTGCTCCTGTGGGTAATTGACAATATGACCCGACATCGAAGCAGTAATCACAAAGCTTCCCTTGCCACGCTCCTTGAAATGAGGACCAACAGCCTTGGCACAGTAAAAGACTGAGTTGAGATCCGCCTGGATGATGTTCTCCCATGCCTCAACCGAGCCATCTAAAACACCCGCATCAGCGGTGCGGCCTGCGTTCGCGATGAACGAGTCGATCCTGCCGAAGTCGGCGATCACGTTCGCGATGAGTTCTTGCACTTCATTCCATTTCGACGTGTCGCATTTGTAGGCCTTCGCCTGGACGCCGTACTCGTCTTGTAGGGCTTTGGCGTTTGCTTCGGCTCCCTCGCTTCGTGTGAAGTATGTGATTGCGATGTTGCCGCCCATTTCGGCACAGCCGCGGGCTGCTTCGAGGCCAATTCCTCGGGGCCCGGATGCGCCGGTGACGACTATGACCTTGTCTTTGAGACTGAATAGGTCTTTGAGGGAGCTGGCTTGGGGGGGTTCGATGGGCATGACGGGCGAGAAAATGGGAAGTGTCTTGAAGATGTGTATAGAAGGGAAGATGGAATGATTTGAGAAGTGTTGATTTACGTCGAGGATTGAGGGGCTGTAGAGGGATAGATGTAGTTTTTATACCTTTTGACAATTTACGGGGGGCTCGGGCCCAACTTCCCCCCTGCAACTGTGCAAATTGTCAGTTTGAGTCTCCTTCGCGATGGTGTTGTCCTTCTCCACCCGGCGGGACAGTGGGCGGCACACTCCCGCCAGGATTTCCGTGGACACTTTGGAGTGAAAGATCTCTCAAATTATTCATTTCAGTAAGTAAAATAAATTTAAAAAATAGCAAACGCATTAGGTGGGCTAGCCACACCACCAATAACCTAGACTCTGAATTAGCACAATTTCAGCACAATGATCAAGAGAAAGCAACCTTCAAAGGCATACTGGACAAGAAAAAGCTATAGCGTCCACTAGCCTTACAATGCTCTGACAACTTCTCCAAATCAAACATCTCCCCAATGGGAGTTCCCCAACCTGCCAGCACCCACTCATGCAAATTGAAATTCGGATCCGCATGGGCACCTCTAATAGGCGCACGCTCAAAGCTCGGCGCATCACCAGCAACAGCAGAGAACTGATGCTCCCATAACCACCGCACCATACTCTCCGTTGCCTCGACGCCACTGAAATCCGGCGATGAGCGAAGTGCCAGGTCCTTTCGCTGCTGGTTGTCTAGCCTGTTGTATGCGGCCGTGAATCCGCTGCGGATGAAAAGAATGTCACCCTTTTGGAAATTGAGGTTGTGATCTTGAACTACTCGTTTCAGGTTGTCGATAGTGATGGCCTCAGAATTGAGGGCGGAGATGGAGATTGAGTTTGCGGTGGCCCATTCTGCGTAGTCGAGGAGAACGCCGCGGCCTGTTATTCCGCCATGTTCACACATGGCTATATGAGGGGTTGAGGTTAGTTCTGGATTGATCGGATATTTTAGAGCTGATCCATACAGTGAATGCCAATGATATCCGAGCTCTCTATCTCGTCTGTTGTATGTCCGTTATAGAACTGTCGGGACTTCTGGTTTGCTAGAGCCACGAATAATAAGCAATAATCGCAACCCCAAGCCATAGAAATCAGTAACATACCGTAGTGTCTAAATCCATCCCATTGGGTAGACCCCTGGCTATTGAATGTCAGGATGTCATCATAGACACAATTCGGATTCCGCAGAACGATCTCCTGCTTAAATGGATGGCGATTAAAGCTAGGATGCGAAGGCATGCTCAACGGCCAGTCAAGTGAGATTCGCACGCCAGTTTTAATTTCCTTCGCGGCTTGGACGACCCGCTCAGGAGTGAGCAGGTTTAATGTCCCAAGTTGATCATCTTTTCCAAATCGACCCCAGGCATTTCCTCGTGGGCCTGTTGGGTCTAATGGGAGGGAATCGAACGAGATTACTTTTGCTTCTTTCGTCATGGCAGTTGGTTGAGAGTAGGACGAGGGCTTGGTGTATCCCGAGGTCTTTATATGCTTCTTTTCCCGGGTATCCGATCAACCCCGGATTCATATCCGAGCAATGCAATTTCGCTAGGCTTTTGTTGAATTATGGACACATTTCACAATTAGACTATTCAGTGCCTCTTGCCGCTTTTATCACTAAATGGGCGCCTTCGTCAAAGCGGCAGCTAAAATAGGAAGCTCTCCAGAGATGAAAGTACCTTACGATGAGATAGATGGGTTTCGAGCCTTGAATATATGTGACTTGTTCCACTAGGATATGTACTATGTCCGTCCTCCGGAGATTCAACCCTTGTCTTGACCTTTGAGTGCAAAAACAAGTGGAGATGATTGTTGGAATCCGAGCTGCGCCCTAGAAGGTGAAGTAGGCAATGGTGGCAGCGTACGTAGCCAGATTGTCGGCAACCGTCGCCAGTGCAGTACCATCCTTCACAATCATATAATTTGTCCCAACAGTGTTGAGCCCATATACCACCAGTCTACTTGTACTACCCTCAACGCTGAATATCATGCTTTGGCAATCCTCCGGAAGGGGGAATGTGGAACAGGTGGTGCTGTAGTTGTTGAAAAAGCTGTAGAGCCCAGCCCCGTAGATAATCACATCCTTGCTATTGAGAATCCGAAGACCAAGCGAGTTGCAGTTTCCGCCGAGACAGCTACTATAGTCGGGGTCATTGAGATCCGGGTTAGTGGGGTATGGGCCATTGGCTGCGTTGGGATTTGGCTGATAGTATCTGCGTGCAATTGGTTAGGATAAGAAATGCAATGGCAGTCTCAGTATAGGATGACTTACGGAGTTTCTGTCTGTATGAATCCTCCCATGATCGAGCTTGCGCCTGAGAACTGATATTGATACAGCGAGTGATGCTCGGATCCCGTTCCGTATCTTGCGCCAGTGTTAGTTGGCTGTGATAATTCATGGTGGGAATTCGCTGCCACTTACAGCCAGATGTTCTTTCCTTCTATCAAGAGACCACGACCGGTATACACTGAGATCTGGGTGTTGGTTGGGCTTTCGAGATCATGATCGGCGGTCCAAAGCCAGACATTCTCCAAGTAAACACCACTGGCGGCTTTGGTAATGTGCATGGACATGTAACCAACCTGACAATCCACCGAGACAGCTGCTTTTGTCGGGCACTGAGCAACCTGCTGCTTAGATCCTTGGAAGCCTCCAATTCGAGTGTGAACATCCCACATTCCAGAACCTGATGTCGCCGCCAAGTTCCACTCAACGAGTACAGCGCCCGGTGTAGAGCCCGAGGTGCTCACAATCATATCGGACCATTCGACAGACCCAGATTCTCCATATTTGCCAATTTGAACCACGGGGACGGGCTTGGTAATACTCGACCATACATTGCCAGTGGCCATTATGACAGAATATGCCTCGCCGACAATCCGAGAGCCGGGTGGGACATAAAGAGTGTTGGTGACTTTGTAATTTCCTTGATCGAAGAACACAATTTTACCTGCAGACGCGGCAGATGTCAATGCGGATTGGATGGCTTTCGTGTCATCGGTTGAACCATCTCCCTTGGCACCTGCGCTTCTGATGCTGATAAACGAAGCTACCGGTGATTGCACATACTGAGGCTTGGACTTGGTAAAATATCGGTTCGATCCACTAGCAAGCAAAGCGCTAGGGCGTGTCGGCGCAGTGAAAGCGCCCTGGAAGTTGGTCGGTCCGTTTGGAGTATACTTGTGGCCTTGTCCCCACGCGCTAATGGTCGTGGAACCCCCAGCCAGGACAGTACCGCTGACGCCTTTGACGGCAACTGGAACGTTGTTCAGATCTATGTTCTCGAGAATGAGGCTGCCAGTTGATAGGTCTGAGCTCTGCCACGCGGTCTCAACAAAATTCTGGCAGTTTTTGATGGTGCTGTCGAGGATGTTGACCGAGCCGACGAGCTGGGCCCCAGCACCACCATTGCTGATTGAAACGGCAGTTGTGCAGTCAGAAATCAAGAGACCTTGGTAAGTCCAGCCCCAATCCCAGATTTGAGAAATTGCGGTCACTGCATTCGAGATAACAATGTTCCGCATTGTGAATTGCTGGTTGCCAACATTGGCACCATAGAGACCACCAGTAATCGTCACATCGGTCATCCAGCCTCCAGAGCCTGGGATTGTATTAGGATCGATCCAAAAAGATTTCAAATACCAACATACCATTCTCAATAAAGATACCCTGGTGCTGCGTTCCAGAAGCAGAACTCATAGCAATGACGACATTCTGGATGCTGGAAGCTTGGCCAGTCGGCCAGTGAATACCAGTCGCAGCAGTACTGGCAGGGATTCCAGTCAAGTCTAATTTCAAATTTCGGATCTGTCTGAAAAATACATTCGTCGATGTCCAGCCCTGGTTTCCATCGTTCTGGTATTGGTCACCGTCAATCAGACCAAGTCCGACAAAACCTGCAGTTGCCTTTATAACTGGCATTGCATTCGGGTTGCCAATCAACTGGGTGAAATAGTAATCGATGATCGAGGTTGAAATCAGGTATGTTCCGGATGGGAAGTAAACTATCGCGGGAGTCGTGGTGGAGGATTGTCTGCTTGCCGGGCCAAAACGACTGCCGGCGCTGATGGCCGCATTGATGGCGGCCGTATCGTCCGTCACACCATCACCTATAATCACTTTAGTACTTCTCAGGCGGTGATAGTAATCCTCAGATGCTCACCTTTAGCACCGTAATCTTTCACGTTGCGGAAGACGGTGTAGCCAGAAGGGTTCGGGTTGAAGGCTGCAATTCCTTGGTGGGCGATATCTGCTAGCCAGTACGGAGTGTCTGCTGCTGCCACTGCTGCAACTCCATGTTTAGCGCTCGCGGTGTTGGTTTTGAACCCTGCTGCAGCGGTTGCGACTTTTGTTGCAGCACCAAAGGACATATACTTCTCAAAGGGGACCATGGCAGAACTGACAATAGCATCCACAGTTGGGATCTCTAGTAGCTGTGCATTGGCACAAGCTACTAAAGAAAGATACTTGATCACGGAAGAGTAACGCATTTTGACCTTGAATTGCTGAGGTAGGTCAGCAAGACGAGTGCTTGCGAGTGGCTTGCTTGAGGAACGTGGACAACGAGGGTCGGGGAACGATGGTTTATATAGAGCCACCTGAACCATTTTGACAATAGATCCGACCGGGTAATGCAAGCATGCATGCGCATGATAGCAAAGGGATGCAGCCAATGACACTGCATCTTTAGCTAAAAGCAAAACAAATCAGGGAATCCCACCTCGAAATACCACACGAGACGGGGAAATATAAGGCGAGTGACTGTAGACCAGGGGTCTCCATTGGTTATTTGATTCCTGGGAAGTCAACAATCCCCCTGTGCTGTCACGCCATGTTCTTTGCCTTATGATATTAAGTGCCAGGTGGAAATGAAGTGCCCAGGTGGAAATGAGAATGTGAATAGATAGTGCTGATCTTTCCCCACAAGAGATGAAGTCCCCTGCTCCTACCTGCATATCAGCCAATAGCCAATCGATATTTAGCACATCACATTGTGCAGAAAAGCTAACCTCGAAACCTAAGCCATTAGTTCGCCCTAGGCCCTTCCAATAGGAATGGAATGTGACTAGTTGATAATTCGATTGCAGCCACCATTCGAGGTATGTGACTAAGTCCACGAGTGTAGGTGTGTGTGTGTGTGTGACCTATAAGAGAAGCCAATTATATTCCAGGATTTATGCTCATTACCTTTAAACGTTGAGGCCTTTCAATTCAACCCTAATTCTGCCCTAACTCTGATTAACTTAAATGAGAATAAGGTCAGCACAGGAGCAATGACCCCCAGGAACGCCACTCCTAGAGTGCGGGGAGACGAAAACGAAGACTTCAGGTCCCGTCTTATATGTTACACTCGACCTTGTTCGCCCTGACGTTGTAACCTCGAGATACGCTTGGGGTTCTTAGCGTGACAAAAGTTGTGGCAGACTTACCCAGAATAGTATGATTTGCTGGTCACCCGGAAGGCGTGCAGCCCACTATTCTTGGCGTATTCGCTGGTATAATATGCTCATACATCACGCGGAGTTTCGGAGTCGCGTTGTGTATGTACTTGTCTTCCAAGAGTCTCAAAGGCTCAGAACAAGAGGCACTTGAGCCCACAGGCAAGATTCGATATGCGCATAAACTCGAACCCTGCTTTACACAACAATATCTTTTATATTCTTCTCGGGCACTGGCGTACTTTATAGTGTTGGTGAAGCCTATCTTTTTCTTCCACTGTTCTTGGTCTTGTATTCTCTAGTAGAATATGCACATACATCACGCGGAGTTTCGGGGTTGCCTTGTATACTTGCCTTTCAAAGATCTCAAGGTTCAGAACGGGACTCAACACCTCAGGCTAAACTTGATATGCGCGTGGGCTTGGGCTCTGTTTCACACAACATTATCCGTTATATTCTTCTCGCCCTCCAGTGTACTTTGACGTGTTGTTGAAGCGGATCTCTCCTCCGCCGGTCGAGGTTGGCGACATCATGAAGTGAGCGGGGCTTTTATTTAAGCACAGAAATATTCACCTTTTTCTGTTGCCTCATTTGCTATCAGATAACCAACTTTCACAAAGCAATCATGCCAATTATGATACCATATCACATCCCCCTTTGTCCAATGCCGGCAAAACAATAGCTTGTAAAGTCCCGAGCATAGACCTTGGTTGCCAAGACGTATCACGTGATTGGGTTTTTTCCGCCTTCGATGCTTCCTGCAAAAAAAAAAAGAGAGAGAGAATAACAGTCGTGCCTCCCTTCATTGCGTTGTGGGACATATCGATATTCGAAGACAAATATCATCAGGGACAGTAATCCGTCCTCGGCCAGTCTTCGATCTCACTTCTCCCAACTCGAGAGCTCATTCGTTGTGCTGACAGCTTCGCGACGGATCGCGAACGTGTCACGGAGGACCGCGAACACTACCATACAACTACATCAAAGACGTTAGAGACAAATTGGGTTTTGCTCTCTCCACGATTGACAACATTAAGTGGAGGGTAATCACCATCGAAGCCGTTGCTTTTTCGAGTCGGTGCGGAGTTGGAAAGAGCCTCGCCGCACACCGAAAGCTCCCTGCTTCGATTGCCGCAAGTGAGGAAACTCATCACGGCATCATACCGCAGTCCATTATCACGTTGGGCTTGATTCAAGGACTTTAAACCGGGTCACATAGATTCCGAAGGATACGAGGCAGTTCGCGCAGTTCGAGCTTGCAAGCATACAACTAACGGTAGTTTTCATACGCTCAATATGTTGAAACGTGGAGCTCAAGGCCCTCAGGGTTCCAAAGATGACGAGGGTTCTTTCGGGATGGCCAGCACCCCCGATGACAAACCCCATCGGGCAACGGCCGCCCAGTTAGCCAGCAGAAAGTAAGTGATAACTCAGATATTAGCGGACCACAAACTGACCGAAGATCTTTTTGAAACCTTTAGAATCAAGGATGTCCGCAAACGCCGAGCTCCAACTCCCACAACCGGCGGAGGCGCACCTGACGCGGCTCCATTCAACCCTTTCGCATCTGTGGCCCCGGCCGCAGCGCCAGCACCCACCCAGTCCACTGGGTTCACATTTGGTCAGAGCCAAAGCCAGAGCTTCCCCGGGGCAAGCTCGGGGCCCAGCCAGGGCGGAATGTTCTCGTCGGGCGCTAACGGCCAGGCGGGTGGTCAGGCGTCATTCAGCTTCGGTTCGGGCCCTACCTCATTTGGATCTGCACCGCCGAGCAATCCTTTCTCTGTAAACACATCATTTGGCGGAAATTCCCAGTCGGGTACCAACGGATTTAGCTTTGGGGGATTCAATGCCGGAAATCAGTCTACTCCGTCGTTCGGTGGATTCGGAGCACAACAGAACACAAGCACTCCAGCAAAGCCCGCCATATTCGGGCAGTCTACATCACATATGACATCGCCTGCAGATGACAGCATGCAAACTTCGCCCGATACCAAGCCCAAGGGAGCTTCCCTGTTTGCACCGAAGCCAGCCGCAGGTCCATCGGCACTTGGCACTTCATTCTCGAACCTTTCAGGGCAGAATGCGGCCAGCAATCCATTTGCACCAAAGACAACTGCGCCTGAGAAACCGGCCGACAAGCCTGCGGAGACCCAGCCCTTCAAAGCTCTTTTCGGATCAACGCCCGCCGCTTCGAAGCCTTTGGATGCAGAGAAACCGCAGCCAACAGCCAGCAATCCATTTGCGAACCTGTCAGGGCAGGCTCCAGCCAGCAGCACTAACCTGTTTGCCCCGAAGACAACTACAGCGGAGCAGACTCCTGCAAAGCCCACAGAGGCGGCTAAACCTTTTAGTGCTCTTTTCGGGTCAACCTCCAGCTCTCAACCCTCAGGGGCTGCGAGCAATCTTTTTGCACCCAAGCCAGCGGCAGAAGAGCCAAAGGCGAGCAATCCGTTTGCGACGCTGTCAGCGCCAAGTTCATTTGGCGGTTTCTCCTCACCGAAGGCTACTGGAACCGAAACTACTGGAAAGGCTGCCGAGGCACAACCGTTCATGTTTGGTACACCCGCAGCATCGAAGGTTTCGGAGGCTGGAAAAGAGCAGACGGCTCCGCCAGCATTTGGCAATATGTTCTCACCGAAGCCGGCTGTTGAGAATGCGGCTGCAAAGCCTGCAGCGGACCAGCCGTTCAAACCCATGTTTGGAACACCTGCAGCGTCGAAGGTTTCGGAGGCCGGAAAAGAGCAGGCTGCTTCGCCAGCATTTGGCAACATGTTCTCGCCGAAGCCGGCTGTTGAGAACGCGGCTGCAAAGCCTGCAGCGGACCAGCCGTTCAAGCCCATGTTTGGAACATCTGTGGGCACAAAGCCTGCAGAGGCTGAAAAGGAACCATCACCGGCGAGCAGTGTTTTCACACCGAAAGTGCCAAGTCAAGAGCAAACTCCTGTGCCTGCAAAAACCTCACAATTTGGCTCAATGTTCGGGGCGTCTCCTGCGCCATCGAAGCTTGGGGAAGAAAAGACAGCTCAGGCGACACCTACCAATCCATTCGCGAACCTGTCAGGGCAGAACGCGTTCAGCAACCCATTCGCACCAAAGCCGACAGAGCAGGCTGCGACGCCCCAGGCACCGAGCACTTCTCTCTTTGGCGCAACTACAACAGTTGACAACAATAAGCAGAATAAGGACAATAACATTGCACCTCTGAATAGCTCATTGGCTAACCCATTCACCGCTGGGTCTAAGGTTTCAACTGAACCTCAACGGGAAGGTGCGACGAAAACTCCTCAGGTGTCGTTCGCGCAGTCTTCACGCGACGATAAAAGCTCGTCTTGTTTACCTTCTTCTTCCTCCTCTCTCCCCTCTTCCTCAACTTCTACTGTTTCCAACGCTTTTACTGCTTCAGACCCTGACAGTCTTTTCCCTCGACCTGATCCTCCTGTATCAATTGACTATTCTTTGCCTAAAGATTCTGACGACATGCCGCTTAAACATCTTTTCCCCGAGGACCCGACGGGCGAAATTCGAGCGCGAGCTAACCTTCTCATGAAGATTGGCGCCTTGACTGAGTCGTTCAAGCGTGAGGTCGCCAAATGTGACCCTATGACTGATGATATTGATGAAGTCCTCATTCTTTATGCTGAACTTCGCCGTGAGCTTGGTGTCCCCATTGGGACCATCAGCCCCGCCGAAGAGGCCAAACGCACCGCCATCAATGAACGTGATGCTGCCAGGGAAGCACCCGATGGCAGCGCATCTCCTCGAATCCCGACCTTCGTACCTCCTAGTTTCAATGAGAAACACCCAGCATCTCCCAACAAGCCTTCCGGCGGATCTACTACTTCCTCCAAGTTCGCCCAGTCCTTCTCCGCTCCGGCGCCTGCTCCGGCAGCTACTTCTGTTGGCGCATTTTCCGCCTCGGCTGCTGGTCCCTCGACTCCTGCGGCTCCCGTTTCTACTGCCCCTATCGCCCCGACCCCTGCTCCGGTAACTACTTCTGCTAGCGCTTCTCCCGCCCCGGATGCTGGTCCTTCGACTCCAGCCGCGGCTCCTGTTTCTGCTGCTCCTGTCGCCACATCTGCTGTTGAAATTCCTAAATCCAATGGTGTGGCCACTTCTGCTGCTCCTGCTTTCCAAATTCCCAAGTTTGATGGTGCGGCCACTTCGACCACACCCTCTGCTTTCCAAGTTCCCAAGTTTGGTCCAGCCCCTGGCGTCGATTTTGCAGCCCAATTTAAGTCTAAGTCAGACAAGACCCTATCTGATGCAAAGGCCAAAAGAAAGGCCGAGGAGTTTGATTCTGATGAGGAGGATGAGGCGGAATGGGAGCGCAAAGACGCGGAACGCCAACGCGAGAAGCAGGCTCAACTCGAAGCTGCAGCTAAAAAGCGTGCCGTTTTTGTTCCTGGCGAGGGTTTCAAGTTCGTTGATGATGATAACACTGCTCCACAGAACGCTAAGGAGCCTGTTGCGTCTGCCACCCCTACGCAGCACCTTGAGAGTACTATCAATCCTACGCCTCCCATGTTTGCTCGCTCTAACACTCCGCTGTCTGCTTCTGCTGGAGCAAACGGTGTCTCTGGCCCTCCAAGCTCCTCCGTCGGCTCTTCGGTTTTCGGATCGTCCAGTGAGCCAGTCCCAGCCTCTCAGAACATCTTCGGCGGGCTCAAGCCGACCTCACCCAAGCGCAAGGCGTCTGCGGATGAAAGTGATGACGATGATGATTCCCCCGCAAAGAAGATGAACTCCACGGAGAACATCTTCGGCGGGCCCAAGCCGACCTCGCAGAACATTTTCGGACCCAAGCCTACCTCGCTTAAACCCAGTGCCTCTGCAGATGAAAGTGAGAAGGATGATTCCCCCACAAAAAAGACGAAGTCGTCGCCTCCCCCTGCTTCTGCAGGCGCCAGTTTGTTTGGACGGGTCTCCACTCCAACACCGATGGCTCCTTTGAGCAATTCCTTCGCACAGCCCGCGATGGCCGCTCCTTCGGCCGCTCCTACTCAGTCCACTCCCACCGGCACTGATGAAGAGGACGGCGAGCCTGGTGAAATTTTCGATCTGACAAAGGGCAATGGCGGTGAAGAAGAAGAAACGGTTGTGTTCGAAGACAAATCCCGGGTTTTCAAACTTGAAGCGGCTTGGTTACCCAAAGGAACCGGTCCCGTCCGCCTTTTGAAGCACCCTGTCACTGGACGTGCGCGGATTGTCGCCCGTGCCGAGCCAAGTGGAAAAGTCACCTTAAACATTCTCCTGAAGAAAGAGTTTGACTACAAGCTCACCACTAACAGTGTCCAGTTCCTGGTGCCCGACGAGACTGGGAAGCTCACACATTGGGCAGTTCGAGTGAAGGGTGAGAGGCTGCAAGAGTTCCACGACCTCATCCAAAAGATCAAGAACTAGGTTTCTTTCTATCTCTTCCTCATGTCTTCTCCATATGTTCTCCATCTTTGTCCTCCCTTTCGGGAGTGTATGTTTATGTCCAAGCGCATGGCCTAGGTTTGCATTTGCGTTTTCAACTGTGGTTCGGTTTCTTTTTGATCTCTTGCTTTCTGTTGTTCTTTTTTTTTTTGGTACATCGATCCCTTGGACAAAGTTGGCCCGGCTTCACCCCGGGGGCCAACTTCCAGTCCAATGGCGATCTCCTTTCTTTTGAGCCCAGTTAGGGCCCAGGTGAGTATCTCTCTGGGCCCACGGGCTTCCAAGACGAATTTTCCTTTTTTAGTGAAGATAATGGGGTCTACATTGTATTTTTGTGAAAATGAATTAAAAAAATGAATTTTCTTCTAAATGCACCTAAGCTCGAAATCAAGCTAATAATAAATCTAACAAAGACCAGACCCCTGAGGCTCTTGATTTTTAAGAGCCGAGACTCCGGCCCCCGTAAAAAGGGTTTAAACTAATTCCCCTACTAAATGGCTTTTCTTTTTTTCTCTTTCTTTCATTCTATTCTTCCTAGTCACTCATTAAATTCCCCCAGTCACTCATTCAAAATACAAAATGAAACCCGTCACTCTTTCTTTCCTCCTCGGCCTCGCCAGCCTCACCAACCTCGCTACAGCCCGCACTGATTTGGAAGGCTGCGTCTCCACCGAAGTGATAATCGAGAAATACTACGCCAGCTACCTCTGGTACGTCCCAGACAGCGGCGAAATCTGCTCATTCCTCGACTGCGGCGGCGGCCGCGCCCCCCCAAAAACTACCCAACCAGGATGTCCCCAATACACTGGAACCGAAACCCTTACTCCCGATTACCTCGAGGGCTGGGGACCCAGCGGCAAACAGGCTGCCTCTACAAGCACCGTGGCATCGACTGCTTCGTCGACTGATATTGCGCACACTTCCGCTACGCAAACTTCCGCGTCGGACTCGTCTTCCGCATCTTCATCTTCTTCATCCGCCTCCGGCACCCAGGCTACCGATAGTATGATCACGGCTTCTCCTTCTGGTCTTAGCGCGGTCGCGACTTCTTTGAAGGTTTCCACCTCATCCAACGAGGCTGGTGACGCTACTTCTACTTCTGCTGCCGCGACCAGCTCGTCCACTTTCAATGCGGCCGCTACCCCTGCCTCTAATGTGGCTGGTGTCATGGCCGTGATGGCTGCTGTGGTCGGGGCTATGGTGCTGTAAATTTTACTTGGTTCTGTGCTTATACCTTTTTGAAGTTGGATATACTCAACTTTTGGGAATAGAACTTGGATCTAGATAAATAGTTATAAATGCGACTTATGGAAATTGGAAAATGGAAAAGTCGCTCACCTTTGTTATGAACCCTCGAATCTCCGATAGCCGAAGAACACTTGGAGCCGCATCGCCGATCAGCATGACCCGCCCTCTTGGCGAGGCTCGGTAGAGATTTCTCCACATTAATTCAAATTTGTAGAGATATTTCGTGGGAGTTCAATGGCTCGATTTCTGGCTATCCCAGGATAGAGGCTGTCGTTTTAGATCGCTAGTTTCGGAAACATGGCTTGAAGTATGGGGGAGTTGAGCTTTAAATGCAGCCATGGCAAGTTTTTTTCAGGGAAAACTAGATGATAAAGTCCTAGATGTAGCACCTAGACATAATTTCTTTACTTCTGTCAACATTTTATAGTCGAAAATTGGAAATAAATCATTACTATGTCAAAGTATGTGCAAACAGATCGAGATCGCTGAATCTCAGTGACGAAATCCACTACAGTGGACCTATCAACTATATTCCCCATAGACCGATGGGGTTTCGCCAAAAGGAAACATCAAATCGAGGGGATAATTCATCATGAAGTCGAAATCCATCGGGGGCATATTTGCGGGCAGTGAGTTTTGTTCCAGTGCCTCTTTTCTCCCCCGATGCATATTTTTGAGTATTTTCGCGCGATTAGCCATTCTTCCAAATATTTCCGGCAATTCAGTAGCTTTAGAGCTTTTTGCACCCTGTTCAAACGATGGCCGTTCTTCTTGGAGCTTGGAAGATATGCGATCGAGTGTCTGATCAAAGTCCATTATGCTTTCCACGTATGCGCGGTCCCATCCGGGATGGTCGTAGAGCGAAAGCTGGGAAAGTGTGATGATTGCCTTTCCAAATTGACACATGACGCTGAAAGGGAGGAAAGGGAAAAGAGATGAGGGGAGAGAGAGAATGGTTTGGACAGAGGAGGTTGTTGCTTCCAGGCAGCGGAATAGGATATCCAGTCGGATTAGAGGATGATCACCGTAGTTGGATTTGGAGGGTTCATTATTGAGGGCTATTCGATACAGATGTATCTCCAGTGTATTGTAATGAAGTTGTAGAATTCCTATATTAGTTTTATTAACTTATGTGCTTGTGCGCAAAGATAACACAACTCACCAGAGTGTGGTGACTCGCTCGGCATGCTAGCTTTGAGTTGCTTAAGCTCAGCTTCAAGCCATCGTATGCTTAGACCAAGGGGCGGAGGCGCTGATGAGACTGATAAAGAATGGAGCTCGGTATTGTATAGTGTGTGATGAATTCTATCTGCGAGGTTCATCACTCGGACTAGCTGTACGAGGTAGGCATCGGAGGGATATTCTGCGACCTGATCTAGAACATTGCAACATTCGTCCGTGTATCTTGTAAATCGAATGATCGGCCCCAAGTCTTTGACACATGTCGATAGCCTTTGAATGATTAGCTCATATCCAGCAAGACTATTCGTCATAGACATACATGGTGGTTAGATAATAGCACCCAAGATACGTGCGTCGCTCTTCCAATGTGCGAACCGGATTCTGATCGTCCTCGTTCATGGCTTCCTTCAAATAAGTCAAAGTATAGTTCACATTTTTCTGATAAGTCAGTTCTTGGTTTAGACCTAAGCTGTATGATTGTGCCACGAGTAAGTGCACGAAGGTATCAAGCTGGGCAGTGTTTCGAATAACGTGATGATAGGGCTCATCGAGCTTGGGCACATCGGGGGATCGGTCACACGAACTGTGTCGCGGGAAACGACTGACTGAAATGAACCAAGTCACATTGACAAGAAGCCCCTGAAGCAGATCCAGACTATTTTCTCCTCTTATGACGATATGTTCGGCCACATACGATTGGACCACATCCACGATTTCTCGTTGGCGTCGAGGGTTTTGGCACGCGACCATTAAAATGTTCAGATAGAGGAAGGGTTTCTCTCGACGCAGTTCCTCTGCGGTGACATTGGCGGGGATCATAAGGAATGGAAACAGAGGGAGCATTTTCTTGGAGAACACTTCCATAAATAGCTGGCCTTCGGTTTCATCGGGAGCAGCGGTGTTTTCTTCCAAGGTAGACGATGATCTCGCTGGACCGCTTTCTGTCCGTTCCCTAGAATCTCTTCCCGAGGCAGCCAGCATGGCGACCATGCGGTCAAATTTAGCCTCGAGTGCAGCAACATCCCTGCCTAAAACGTCAGGAGGCTCATAGGGAGGTTTGATTATGGTATACACTTACGATCTTTTTTCACGACGATGGGCCCCAGGTAATTGATTTCCGCATTCTTTTCCCAGGCGACGACAACTAACAAAATTTAATATGGGTTATACGTATGAAATCAATATACTCACCGTTTACAAGGACCATCGGTTTCCGGTAAACATCGTACTTTGGCCTTGGCACAGGTTAGGCACGCTTTGGGGCGGGTTCCGACTCCGTCCTCCATGACTTAGCATGTACAAGGCCAGCTATGAGCTTCGAATCAAGAGTGACCGAAATTCAGGAGCAGTTAAATGGAGTCCGCTCTGTCAGAACGGAAAAAGTGGAACTCGTCAGATCTCTTTGATCGATTTCCTATTGGTAGAACTACATCAGAGTGGGCCCTAGTGTTATGTATAGATCCCCTTTTTATATCTTGAACTATTTATTCAATAATAATACTTAGCAGTCTAGTTCATTTTTTTCTCTGCAAGGTCAGCCTCCTGTAAAGACATTCGTAGTAGCTGACGTGAATATGTGTAACTACACCTTACCATATATCCACACATCTCATGAACTACATCCTTCTCAGTCTGTATCCACCCCTTCTGCTGCTCATTAAGATCGGGGGAATTGAACAATTACGCGCGGTCGAAGTCGATCCATATTGCCCTTTCGGAATCACCGTCAATCACCATCATATTCCTCGGATGAATATCACCGTGTAGCACCAAGGCCTGGTGGATTTCTCGCAGACCCTTTTGGAAGTTCCCGCATTCTTTTGTTAGTAAAATGTGACCAATGCATCATTTTCATGCCGAGGATGTATTCCAGAAGAACAGCCTTTGGAGGATATTCGTCTTTTGAAAACATGTCCAGGTGTGGCTTGTGGAGTTTGGGGTCGAGGTTTTCGATTCCGCTATAGAACCGAGGCACAATGCCGCCGCTACAGAGACCATGTTCCCGAAGCCTTGAATACGCGGTCGCTTCGCAAAAGTGAAAGTTTACCTCGCGGTAGGTTGGCTCGTAGTATAGTCTAGGCCCACGCCCATGATGCTGTACAGAGTCAGTGACCATGCCTCGGAAGGACTTTGGGCTGCAACGTAGCAAGAGACTGACCACTTTCATAAAATGTCTACGAGAAACAGAACAGAAAATCGCGAGGCCGATACGATTTCCTTGAATTTTATTTCAGAACACAATACTTCTGGTGAAGCTTCCATGCCGACGATCTGTAGTTTGTTTAGAGGTGATATTAGGCACTTGATAAGGACGGGGCACGGACAGATGATCCGGCCGAGGCCTTGCAGGGTGTTATGCTGCCTATGGGCGGGCCGAAAGGGTCTGCCCTGTCTGTTATGATGGATGTTTTCTCCGGTGTGCTTTCTGGGTCTGCTTTTGCTGGACATGTTACCAACCCATATGATCCGTCGAAGCCAGCTGACGTGGGCCATTTTTTGGTGGCTATTAAGCCTGATTTGTTTACGACTATCGAGGAGTTCAAGGAGAGGATTTAAAGGTGATAGTAGTTGGAAAAGTAACAATGAAAAAATCCATCATAGGCTAGGTGCTCGGCGCGAAATTCCATACAACTCAATTATTGAACGACAAATATGCGTATCACATGATTGTCAACTATCAGTGACTGATATGGAGGTCTGTGGGTGTCTACTAAGCCAAGTAAATTGGTATATGAAACAGCGCAATTCGCGTTATGTCCTAACGAACCAGGAGCTCGTAGCCATCCGGATGCTTGACGATGAAGGAAATTTGCAGCTATCTCATCCCATTCCTTGGGAACTTGGTGGCACAGTCAGACGGCCGCGATTAACAGTTCTACTTGTGCTTTGGTATAGGTATGCTTGCAGCGCATGATGCAGGGCCGTTAGGATGGGAGTTATTCGTGGTGCGAAGTCGGAACAATTTGAACGAATCATGTTGGTTTCTGTTTATCGGCGAAATGGCCGTCCCCGCAATTCGCGACTCCGATATCATCCCCCTCCTTCAACTCTTCTTCTTCTTCTTCATATTCCCATCAATGGCTACCTTATTGAAAAAGCCCCTTAAATTGGCTCTTGTCCAGCTCGCCTCAGGTTTGAATCCTTCCTAGATCTGCCCATGTTCTCCCAGCTAACCAAATTATCTAGGAGCGGACAAGGCCGTGAACCTCTCTCATGCTCGGGGCAAAGTCCTTGAAGCTGCAAAGGCCGGCGCACGATTGATCGTTCTTCCCGAGTGCTTTAACTCGCCCTATGGCACGAATTTCTTCCCAAAATACGCCGAGACCCTCCTCCCCTCTCCTCCCACGATTGACCAATCGCCCTCCTTCCACGCCCTGTCGGCCATCGCCGTAGAGGCAAATGCATACCTTATCGGCGGAAGTATTCCTGAGCTGGAACCCTCCACCAATAAGTACTATAATACCTCGTTGGTCTTCTCGCCGACAGGCGCCTTGATTGGCACTCACCGCAAGACGCACCTGTTCGACATTGATATCCCGGGCAAGATTCAGTTCAAGGAGAGCGATGTACTTTCACCTGGCAACCAGCTGACTGTCATCGATCTCCCGGAGTACGGAAAGATCGGTCTGGCAATCTGCTACGATATTCGTTTCCCAGAAGCAGCGATGATCGCCGCTCGCCAGGGCGCGTTCCTCCTCATCTACCCGGCAGCCTTCAACACCACCACCGGTCCTTTGCACTGGTCGCTCCTCGGTCGGGCTAGAGCTGTTGACAACCAGTCATATGTGGCGCTCTGCAGCCCGGCGCGTGACCTGGGTGCCGCCTACCACGCTTATGGTCACAGCTTGGTCGCTGACCCCAGCGCAAATATTCTCTGCGAAGCTGAAGAGAAGGAGACCATTATTTACGCTGACTTGAATAACGATTCGATTGCGAACATCCGCAGTGGAATTCCTATTTCCACTCAGCGACGATTTGACCTTTACCCGGATGTGAGCGTAAGCCAGAAGTAATGGGGAAATTTAGAAGATTATGGAGGATCTTTGTCTTTGTTAGAAATATCAAGTTTATCAAGAGACTAATTTTAAACTGAATATTCACAATGTATGAATCTTGATAGTGGAATAAGGTCATTATTGCCTGAGGCATCAATGTCCACAGGCAGGATATCATTGGTTGTGATATAGCCCCACCCCACCCAATCAGACCCCGCACAGTCAAGCGAGACCACACTGAATTTCACTCGAAAATTGACCGCGAACTCTCCTTCTGACAATCGATCACTTCCGCCCACCGTCGACCACCCCTTCAGTCAGTCTTCTCAATCACCACTCCGAAATAACCCCCCTAACCTTCTCTGCAGAGATGTCCAACGTCAAGACCGGCAACAAGCGCTCGGCTATCGCCGATGTGGTGACTCGCGAGTACACCATCAACCTGCACAAGCGAGTATGTTGAACACAAACCCTTTCCCAAGTCTACCTGCGACGATTCGAATACGATTCAGTTCTGGAGGCATATATTGGACAGAGAACAAGAACTTTTCCTGAAAATGGAATTTGTTACGGAAAAGAATGTGTGTGGTGTGGGTTGGTGCGTGTGTGTCGAGGGTAGAATGGGAAACCAATCCCCTATGTCACCACCACCATCCTCACCATGACCTGTGGAGAAATCTGCAGGTAGGACATGGCACTTTTGTCTTTTGTCTGTTTCGCGATAGAGACAGCCGAGAGGAAATCTTGAAAAAGATCTTCGCTCGCATCCACACATATCCGCACCCGGAACACAAAAGAAGAATTAGTTTTATGAAGTCCACTATGGCCGAAAGACCAGAAACATTCATCGCGCAGAGTTTTCTCTTGCAGATGGCATTCGGGCGGAAGACTGATTGCAACTTCTTTTCCGGAATTATAGTGCCACGGCGTCAGCTTCAAGAAGCGTGCTCCTAAGGCCATCAAGGAGATCCGTGCCTTCGCCACTCAGGCTATGGTAAGTTTGAGCAATGCTATCCCTCCCCTCTGATCGTACTGGGAATTCAGTCTGCTTACATGCTCGACTCACCAATAGGGCACCAAGGACGTCCGCGTCGACCCCCAGCTGAACAAGAAGGTCTGGGAAGCCGGTATCAAGGGTGTTCCCTTCCGTCTCCGTGTCCGCATCTCCCGCAAGCGTAACGACGAGGAGAACGCCAAGGAGCGTCTCTACTCCCACGTCCAGGCTGTCAACGTCAAGGACCCCAAGGGCCTCCACACCACCACCGTCGATGACGCTTAAGCGTGTCGCTTTTCGTTAGCATCTATGATTCCATGTTCCCCGCTGGGGTGTGGTCGGGGTTTACAAAATACAAAATACCTTTTCCCTTTGGGGCAACCTTATAAGTCTTGTCATAGTTTGTAGTATTGGTTCTACCGTAGTTGGCGTATTCTGCTGCATCAAGAGTAGCACGATTCTCAAGTTCAGTTGATTCCACTGTGTAGTTCCCCACCTTCTTATATTTGGGGTCCCTGAGAGCCTGTTGGTAAAGCCGATGTACAAGCTTGTGCTCGTCATCGCACCTCAATACGTGATTGATCCGAGACCTTCATGTATGCGAATACCGAGTCTCTAGAAGTAACCAGTTCCTTCACGGCACCTACTAGTTTCGCCCGAGGGGAGAATAACCGTGATGTGCATGTTCCAAATCAGCGATCCAATTAGGGCTAGGTGGGGGATCCGTCAGTTTAGTCGAGCAAGCATGCATTTAATGACTATGGGTCGAATGTATACCTTGTGCATTGTCTTCGCTCTTCTGATCCTAGCACTGGTAAACACTCTTATTGATTATATGTTGGGTTTATCTGGGGGTCTTGACGTGGTCTGTCACCGATATCATAAGTGCAACTTAGTTCGTACAATCCAACAATCAAAGCTACCCGCCTACGAGAGAGATGAATTCCACAGTAAAACAAAAGACTACTTGTTTCAAAGGTCCCAAAAGATCTGCTCACCAAAGAAACTGAGTATTGAAGGACTTGCCAACTATATAGATACCTACATACATAATTCTGCTTGGTAAGTGCACATGTGCCTTCTCATCGCCTCAGAAGATATACTCGGATGAGGTCCGGTTTGCTGTTTACAGTGCCCTCGGTTTTTTCGAGGGTTTCAGCAAGTTCGCCGCTGCTATTCAAGCCCTCAACAGCAACACATTGTAGTCCATGTACTAGG